CCGTGCCCAAGGCTCCCAGTGACCAGCGGTGAGGACAGGCAGTGGGGACGGGACAGGGTTCCCGCCTGGGCTTTGCCTGAGACACAGTCATTCTCGTCCCAGGTGGCCGTGAGCGGCAAGGAGTCCCACCTACAAACAGGTCCATCGGCTGCAGGTGCCAGCACCCTCCGTTCCTGCTGCAGAGACAGACGTGAGGACCGCATGTGCTCCCCCACAGGGGTGCCACCAAGAACGCGGGACCCACAGTGGGGGCATCCCTGCAGCCACGGGACACTGAAGGGGACCTTTCCCCTGAGAGCGGGCAGCACACCCGCCCGTCAACCCTTCAGCCTGGAGCCCGGATGAGCTCTCACATCCCATCCGTCCGATGAAGCAGAGGAGCAGAAAGCTTTCCGAACAGAACATCCCCACGAAGGCCTCTCCTCTCCCATCCCCACGGAGACCTCTCCTCCCCATCCCCACGGGGGCCTCTCCTCCCATCTCCACGGAGACCTCTCCTCTCCTCTCCATCCCCACGGAGACCTCTCCTCTCCTCCCCATCCCCACGGAGACCTCTCCTCTCCTCCCCATCCCCACGGAGACCTCTCCTCTCCTCCCACCCCCACGGAGACCTCTCCTCCCCATCCCCACGGGGGCCTCTCCTCCCATCTCCACGGAGACCTCTCCTCTCCTCCCCATCCCCACGGAGGCCACTCCTCCCCATCCCCACGGAGACCTCTCCTCTCCTCCCCATCCCCACGGGAGCCTCTCCTCCCATCCCCACGGAGACCTCTCCTCTCCTCTCCATCCCCACAGGGGCCGCTCCTCTCCCATCTCCAAGGAGGCCTCTCCTCCCCCATCCCCACGGAGACCTCTCCTTTCCCCTCCCATCCCCAGCCGTGGCTGCACGTCAGAGTCCGCTGGGAAGAAGCCAGGTATCAATTCCTTGAGGGACCTCAATGTGCAGCTAAGCTTGAGAACCACTGGTCAAAACAGATATGACCAGCCGGCCGGCGTGGCTCAGATATTTTTTCCATTTATTTTTAGAGAGTGGAAGGGATGAAGGAGGAAGAGAGAGAGAGAATCATCAATGTGAGAGGCACGTCAATTGACTGCCTCCCGCATGTGCTCTGACCAGGGCTGGGAACTGAGCCTGCAGCCCCCTGGTCCACAGGCCAGCGCTCTAACCACTGAACCCACCAGCTGCTGGGCTGACTTTTCTTTGCTGCTGCTGACTTGAGTTAAAGAGCCTCTCCTAGCCCTTGTCCAAGACTGGTGGGCAGCTCCTGGCCCCTCACCCACATTCACGCTGAGGTCACCCGAGGAGAAGGCAGCCCCGGGGGCAGCACCCTCATCTGCGTGCCTCCCGTTCATCACGCCAAAGTGACAGGCATAGGGCCCTGCCGGACATTCCCGGTGACAGCTCTTCTCAGCGCCAGCTCTCAGCGGGTGCCACCTGCCACACGTGGGCCGCCGCTGGGCACCCACCCCTGCCTCCTGCAGCCACAGCCCCACTTCAGTCTTCCCAGCAGAAAGAGACCTGTCACCCTGACCCCACCCCTGCCCTCACCCCTCCCACCCTCACCCTGGACGGAGAAAGCAGAGGCACAGGCATAAATGACTAAGTTACTTTTTCTTCTTTGAAAAATCAACCTAAAAAGTTAACCTATTTGGATACCAAATTGTATCTCAAGTAAAATCTCACCTCTCTCCTTAAAAAGAATAAAACAGTCTTTATGCCAAAGCAGGGGGTGGGAGGACGAAGCTCCCGACCCCCAACTGCTTTTCCCCTTCACGCCGGTTTACTAACTGTTTAGAACGAGCATTATTACCTTTAAAATCAGAACGCAAATAAAACAAACTGCCAAAAGTTAACCCACTATGTACAAGGGAAATCTAATAACCATTCGAACACCTGGCATTCACCAGGCCCCCGTGAGGGTCTCACTTCTGCAGGGTTTCAGGGAGGAGCGACTGGTGTTCACACCGGACAATGTTGGACGGGTCCAGCTCCAGAAACGTGTCAGGGGAGGGCTGGCCCTGTGACATGTCCGCGTCTCAGGCAAACTCACGCGAAGGCAGGAGCAGGCCCTTCGCTGGGGGACGCCGGCCACGTGCAGCTTGGTCCAGGAATCAGGTTGGGGGCCCTCCAGGCTCCTCTGATGCCCTGACCTGGGGTCGTCGGCCCTTCCCCGAGCGATGGGAGTCCCCAGCCGTGCAGCCTTCAAGCACAAGCCAGGTCTCCCCCCGGCTCCAGCCCCTGGGCGCCGCCTCTGTCCTCCGCGGGCCTGGGCCGCTTCCGCTCCGGGGGGCTGACCTGCACGTCTCCAGGCGGCTCTGAAACGTTCACCGACAAGGCCGCCAAGTAAGCAAGACTTAAGTTAGAGCTGATGCTACACAACACATCCTGGCCCTGGCTGGTCTGGCTCAATGAATAGAGCACTGGCCTGCGGACTGAAGGGTTCGATTCCGGTCAAGGGCACATACCCAGGTTGCAGGCTTGGTCCCCAGTGTGAGGCGTGCAGAAGGCAACTGATCAATGCTTCTCTCTCATCGTTGATGTTTCTGTCTTTCTCTCCCTCTCCCTTCCTCTCTGACATCAATAAAAATATATATTTTTTAAAATTCTGTGCCCAGACAAGGAGTAAACCGCCTGCAAGGTCCTATGTGCCTAGAATGGAGAGTCTACACCAGGGGATCTCAACCCCGGGGCCACTGTGCCTCCCAGGACAGCGGGCGAGCTGGTGACAGGTTAGAAAGTCAGGAGTGGGGAATGGGAACATCTGGGGGTGTTAATGAACGCCCTGCCACACAGGACAGCCCCACCACCAAGCCTGACCCACCCAACATGTGAGCAGCACCAAGGCCAAGAGGCACCCCAGCACCCCCTGCTGACAGCACCCAGCTCCCTGTGCTCCTGGGGAAGCGGGCTCCCCCGAGAATAAACAGGCCAGTGAGTCTGCAGCGAGGGCCAGGTCAGGTGCATCCTTGCTTTCTCAGAACCGACGTAAAATTAGCGGATGTTCATTTCCAAAAGAACAAAAGGGAAGATATTCTGCCCTCAAGGACATGGCACCAGGACCAGATCCCTCACCTGGCTGGACCTCCGTGGGCGGGGCAGAAACCACACTCCCTGGCGCAGAATCCGGGGCGTCTGTCTTCAAGGGCATCACGGTCACTCTCCTGATTAGAAGGAGGGAAGGGCGCATGGTGAATCCGTGTGGTAGGAACTGTGTCTGACAGCACATTCCAAAACCACCCAGAGGTGCCTGAGATAGCAGCTGGTCATGTCACGCAAGGCGTTACATGCACAGAGACCCGCCCACGGGCTTAGTGACCAAGGATCACGCTGGTCACGTGACGTTACCACCATGCTGACGTCACCACCGCCCTGACGCCAGCTTACCGCTCAGCCGGCCACCAGTGTGCGCCCAGCCTGCTCAGAAGGCTTCCCCTACAGGCCGTTCTGTCTAAAACCCACAACCTCAATGTCCAACAACTATTCCTTTTTCAAAATTAACAACTGCAAGAAGCTTGCAAGACACTAAGTGGGGAAAACTTAAATACCCCAAATATTTCACAGAACACCTTCCCCTCCGCCCCGAAACACACAGAAGAGAAACCATGCATCGCCGGTCTGCAGAGACCCGACTCAGGGCCGGACACCCCTAAACCCCGTGGTGGACCGGCCAGCGAAGTCACATGAGTGAGCACAGCAGAGAGCCACCCCAGTGCTTCCAGCACCTTCTGTCACCCCACCCCCGGCCCAGCGGCCCCCAGGAGTCTGCTCTAGACAGAGGGTGCAGTCTGTCTAGAAGGCCGGGAGGTGGGGCACCGCTGAGCAGGCAGCAGACGGAGCCGGGAGGTAACCTCCCCGATGTCCAGGGAGGAAACCGGGCAGCACAGCTGCTGGGGGCTAGGGGTCAGGGGGTCAGGGGCAGGCGCGGTCCTCTCTGCAGCGGCGGCGGGACCTCGGGCCGATCTGCGGATGCCTGATGAGAACCAGGGCACACACCACTGCGCCACCGGGATGCTCTGCTGGCCGACAGACTCCCAGCTCACCGGGCGCCGTCTGCTGGCAGCAAGACGCCTCAAGACACCCACCACGGCGCAGTGCCCGCCACTGTGCTGGGCCAGAGGGGCTTACACCTCACGGGGAACAGCAGAAACGAAACCCCGGCCCGAATGTGAGTGTAACAGAGAGAAGCACTGATGGAATAAAAGAGTGTCCCCGGGGAGCAGTGTCCGGGCGTCCGGAGAAGGGTGGGTCAGAGGCCCCAGGCCGGGTGTGCTCTGGGGGCCGGGCTTTCCGGGTCAGGCTGGAGGAAGGCACCGGGGAAGGGGAGTGACCACGGACAGTCCCGGCCTGCGGGTGGAGCCACACCTGTGCCACAGGTAGGAAGTGGGGACCCCGCAGGTGTGTGAGCCAGGAGGGGGCGCTCGGAGTGGGGTTAAGAAACCTCTGGAGACCTGGCTGGTGTAGCCCAGTGGCTAGAGCATCGGCGCTTGGGCTGAAGGGTCCTGGCACATGCCCAGTCAGGGCACATGCCCAGCTTGTAGGCCCGATCCCCAGTAGGGGGCGTGCAGGAGGCAGCCGATCAATGATTCCCTCCCATCACTGATGTTTCTCCCTCCCTCTCCCTTCCTCTCTGAAATCAATACATATTTTAATAAAAAAAACAGAATCTTTAAGAAACTTCTTAGACTTTGATCACCACTTTCAAGGGAACTTTGGTATCTGAAGGCCGAGATCAGGAGGCTCGACCTAGGTCACTCTCTGTTTCTTGGGTGTGTGTCTGGGTCATCTGGTACAAATCAAGCTCCGGGCCCTGGTAATTCAAAATAATCACCCTGGGTGCCCTCCCCCAGCCTGGGTCCCGGCGAGGACTCCTGTTGGGTCTGACGCTTGGTTTTCTTCGCTGTCTCAGGAGTTCTCATGCTCAGATCCGGCTTCTCTTTGAAAGGTGCTCCAAGCTCACCCTTCTCAAACGTCACGAAGGAGCAGTAGCCATCGGTGGAGGAAATGGCCAGGAAGGCCCCATCGCTGGACCTTTGTCCCCAGAGCAGGAGAAAAGGGTTAAGTTTTACCCAAGTCTGCGGCCCTCATCCCGCTCTCACTGTAGTTAGAAACGAAGTCAGGCCAGGTCGCAGCGTCCTCTGCAGGGAAAACGCGGCCAAGACCCCGTTTGTGCGCTGCCGTGCCCCCTTCCCAGCCCAGCCCGGCCCGGCCGCTCACCAGGAGATGTCGCTCAGGGTGTGGTAGTGGATGTTGGACACGTAGCCGAAAGGGAAGAGCTGCTGGGTGTCGTAGAAGAGCACGGAGTCCTCGGAAGCCACGGCGAACACCACGCGGTAGGGCAGGCGCACCAGCGGCCCCGGGGCCGGCCCGTCTGCAGGACACAGGGCAGGAAGGACAGTGACACCAGCACCAGCCAGGCTCCCGCAGGAACCACCAACTCCCGCCACGAGCCTTCTCCCCGGGACATATGGGATGTAATTCCTCTAATGACGTGCACAGGGATTTTATATACGAACTAGAGGCCCGGTGCACGAACTCGTGCAGGGGTGGTGGAGGAGGGGAGGGACCGTGGGAGGTTGGCCGGCTGCCAGCCAAGGGAGGTTGGCTGTGGAAGCGCACTGACCACCAGGGGGCAGCTCCTGCATTGAGTGTCTGCCCCCTGGTGGTCAGTGCACGTCATAGTGACCGGTCATTCCAGTCATTCAGCAGTAACAGCCGTTTAGGCTTTTATATATATAGATGCAGGCATGAATGAGAACTATGCGTGAACCAATGACACATGACAGGATCCAAGAAACCTGGGCACCGAGGTGCAAAATGAAGAGCATTTCTGATAAGGAAATGCAGGGTCACATGGAAACATTGTATCAAGTGATGTTTTCATGCTCTTTCCAGTTCATTATATTCATTCGCATAAAAGTTTAGAGAGTGCGCCGAAACCGGTTTGGCTCAGTGGATGGAGCGTCGGCCTGCGGACTCAAAGGTCCCAGGTTCGATTCCGGTCAAGGGCATGTACCTGGGTTGCAGGCACATCCCCAGTGGGAGATGTGCAGGAGGCAGCTGATCGATGTCTCTCTCTCATCGATGTTTCTAACTCTCTATCTCTCTCCCTTCCTCTCTGTAAAAAATCAATAAAATATATTTAAAAAAAAAAAAAAAGTTTAGAGAGTGAAAAACAGCTCCCACTTCCAGCCTTGAAGCAACAGGACCCCAATTTAGCCTCCGACTTCTTAAGACACTGACTGCCCAGCAGCAGTGAAGGCCAGCGACCCCCAAGCGGCAGGGAGCAAAGGCGTGATGTGCTGCCGCAGCCTCAGCTCACCACCGGGTCTCCAGGCCCAGCAGCGGGAGGGGACCCGGCAGTGCCCGCACGTGCCCTGAGCTGCGGGGCTAGAGCGAGGCTCCAGGCTGCAGCAGGGACCTGCGGGGACCTGCGGGGCCCGTCGTCTAAGCTGCACTGGCCGGTGCACGCGGATAGGGAAGCAACCCGAGGCCCAAGCAAGAACAGGAAAGAGATGCCCGGCCAGTGTGGCTCAGTGGTGGAGTATCAACCCAGGACCAAGAGGTCACGGTTTTTAAATAAATATATATATGTATATATATATATATTTTTTAAGTTGCTCTAAGCAAAGACGGTGTGTTCTAGATGCTGCCAACAACGAACACAGTTTGGCTCTCCCCAGGCCACACTTGACATAGCCAGACCCGGCGGAGAGCGACCTGCAGACACGGCTGCTCTTGGACACGTCTCATTCTCTCATCATTGATGTTTCTCTCTCTCTGATATCAATAAATATGTATATATATATTTTTAGGTTGCCCTAAGCAAAGACAGTGTGTTCTAGATGCTGCCAACAACGAACACACAGTTTGGTAACATCAGTCTCCATTCCAACTCCTCCAAGTAACTAAACGGAGCCAAACCCACATGCCCACCTTTCCCCGAGGTAAAATCCAAACCCCAGCCACCCTGGTGACCTGCCTGACAGGAGACACCGCAGGGTTCTGATGTACCTGTTTCCGTCTCCGGTCTCAACTCAAAGTAGACAGGGCAGCAGCGGACAGCAAGTGTGGCTTTTCCGGGACACGGGAGATGCGCCACAGGCCTGGAGACGAATCATGGGTTAGAGCAGTGGTTCTCAACCTTCCTGACGCCGCGACCCTTTAATACAGTTCCTCATGTTGTGGTGACCCCCAATTTCATTGTGACAAATTGAACATAATTAAAGCATAGTGATTAATCACAAAAACAATTCGTAATTAGCTATGTGTTTTCCGATGGTCTTAGGTGACCCCTTGTAAAAGAGTTGTTTGCCCCCCAGAGGGGTCGCGACCCACAGGTTGAGAACCGCTGGGTTAGAGAAACCATGCTCAACAAAAGCAGAGAGAGGGCCGATGTCCCCGACAGTCCTCAGGCACTCACCTTTTCAGATTCTTCCTGGAGAAGAGGTACGTGGTGTTGGTTACATTTTCGCCAGACTCCACGCATCCGGCTGGGAGGCAGGGAGGCACTGTTATTAAACTGTCCACCAGCAAACCCAAGGCAGCCAATTCTGGTTTAAAGTCATTTTTCTGAGAAATGGACTCCCTGGACAGTGTGTGCGATCGGGACAAATACAAACCTTCCGCACACCTTGGCTCAGCCTCACACTGGCTCCACCCACCTTCCTCTCATCTGGGTGTCATCTCACCTGAGGGCACAGCCACCTGAGGGCACAGCCGCCCAGAGCCACGCCCAGGCCAGGGCAGGAAGAACATAAAGCTCTGTGCCTGCTTCCCGACCTCAGCTGCCGTCCAGTCCGAGGGCTGAGACTGGCCTCTTCCCGTCTGCCTGACGGAGCCAGGAGCTGCCAGGAGACAGCCCTCTGCCGAAACCCCAGCCCTGCAGAGCTGACCCGCTCTGGCCCGCCCCACTGACGTCTCCACTCTCTGATATCTTTTTTTCACACACACACACACGCACACGCACACATTCTCTCACATGTGACCACTGCGTATCCAGCAGGAGGGCAGCAGCATCTCGCCCCATCCTTCCATCCCCAGGATCCACTCTGACAAACACCTCGCCAGCCCTGCCTTCCCTCCAGGCTCACGTAACTGTGACAACCATATATACACACATAGTGGGCTTTAGTTTACTGTATAAAATGGGATGTTATTTAGACTTTTCCTTATTTTGCTTTTCTTAGTCAACTACTCATAAAAGAGATCTTGCACAGCAACTAATGCTTTTTTTTCCCCCTCTCCCACCCTCCTTGGGTTCCCTCCTCTTATATTTTCTCCAATTTTCGCCTTATCCTAACCCACACCTTCCATGTGACACTGGCAATCCTGGAGGCGACACGCGGGCCCGCCCGGCACCCGCCCGCGAGCCCGGCTCCACGCACCTGGGGTGAGCAGCAGGGAGCCGTCGGGAGTGAAGCTCAGCCTCCGGAAGAACGACTTCATGCTGTCGTCGTGAAACATCCGGTAACTCCTGGCCTGAGGCACAGAGTGTCAGCGTCACCCAGCCCCCAGAAGGCTCACCGCTGCCTCCCGTGCGACCATTTATTATGACGATCATCAATAGAACCAAAACAACGTATCACCAACCCAATACTCCCGTGGGACTGCGAGAGTAATCAGCCACGAACGATTCGCCCTTTTGTTCAGGAAAGCTTGTGTGTGCACGTGTGCGCAGGGTTGTGTGTGCATGTGTGTGTGCATGTGTGCACATGTGTGTGAGTAACTGGTTTGTATGGGGATGAGACTGGGAAAAAGCAAGAGGGTGACTGAGCCCTCTGCTTGCTGTCGTGTGTCACTGAGAATTTCCACCCAAATAAATGCTTTTTTAAAAGACTAGTGATCATTAAACTGGCAGCCAGATCTTTCCGAACCAGCCTCCTCGAGCTCCCTGTGGAAGGGCTGCGTGCGCCCCCCATTCAGGAACATCGGGGCGTTAGTTCCAGGAACCCGGGGAAGCATCACCCCTCGATTCCCAAAGCATGTGACCGCCCGCACCGCCAGCCACGGCCCACGCAGCTTTCACCTGCCCCCTAGGCCTGGACGGCGCCCGGTCCCTGTTTTGTGCCAATAACTGATTGGCTGGCTCCCTTTTGCTGAAGCACCTGCTTCCACAGCCTCCATTCCTGCAGGACTAGGACCCCTTTTCATTCGCCAGTTCTTCCTAAGGTGGAAATCCCTCCTATTCCTGAGTCGCCCGATGACCGGTCCCTGCTCTCTGCGCCCAGATCCTCCATCTTCCTGCCCTGCCACCTGCCTCCGCACCTCTGGCTGGGATCCTCCAACCAGCGTGCCCTACCCACACCACACCTCAGAATCCACACCTCAGAATCCACACCTGGAATCCACACCTTGGAATCCACACCTTGAATCCACACCTCAGAATCCGGGGGCCTGCCCGTCTCCGGCTGGGTTAGCCCAGCTCTGGGGGGCCAGGCCCCCGTAGTTTTTAATGCTTTCCTGGTGACTCCACGGGCAGCCTGCTTGGAAATCACTAGCCTCCATCATCGGCTCCCCCGGTGCCAGACAGGCCGGCCCACCACACTAGCCGGGCCCCGACTGCCCGAGGGGAACCCTCACTGGGGTTCAGGTGTCGCTGAGCCTGATTAAGCTGCAAGGCACGGAGGAACTCAGACTGGCCTCCGCTCCACTGCATCGCGGCTGCCACGCAAAGCCCGGGCATCTCCTGCCTACCTCTCCCTCGGCGCCCGTGCCCGCCAGCATCTTCGAGACATTGAAAGCCACGCGCTTCTTCTGTGTGCTGTACACCCTCAGGGTCCTAAAGGGAAAGGAAAGTCCGGTCTCACTCTTCTGGCAATGAACTGTGTCTCACAGAAACACTGTCACCCACACGGAGGGCGGCCTAGGCAATCTGTGGCCTGCGAAGGGAAACACACACCAGCTCCCCACTTACTCTCATTCCCGGGCACCTGAAATGAGACCTGCTACGATGAAAAGTAGTCGATAAAAATTGAAAAGGGCCATTTTGACTGATGAGTAATATGTCTGGAACTTCTGATTTAAAAAAAAAATTCTTTGTTCCAGGACACAACTCAGTGTGATTCACCAGTAAACATGGCAATAGGTCCTCCTTTTGAAAGGGACAAGAGAGTTTACTTTTATATTAAACAGTCTCCTTAAAATCACTGCAGTGGCAACAAAAGGAAACCAATATCCAGCCCTACCATTGGTACCTCTGCTTAAGTCATCTATACTAATAAAAGGATAATATGCTAATTAGACCGGACGTCCTTCCGGATAAAGCCATGGCGGCGGGGGCCAAGGCAGAGGCAGTTAGGGGGGACCAGGCCAGCAGGGGAGAGCAGTTAGGAGCAATCAGGCCAGCAAGGGAAAGTGGTTAGGGGCAATCAGGCAGGCAGGTGAGCGGTTAGGAGCCAGTGGTCCTGGATTGCGAGAGGAATTCCAGATTGGAGGGGGTGCAGGCTGGGCTGAGGGATCCCCCCACCCGTGCACGAATTTTGTGCACTGGGCCTCTAGTCTATATATATAAAAGCCTAAGTGACTGGCTGACCGGTCAGCAGCTATGACATGCACTGACCACCAGGGAGCAGACGCTCAACACAGGAGCAGAAGTCACAGGCATGGAAACATGGAACAGACTAATGAATCTCAGAGGGAAAGGAGGCACGGGGAGGGCAGGAAGAGATTAACCAAAGATCTTATATGCACACTAGAGGCCCGGTGCACAGATTTGTGCACTGGTGGGGTCCCTCGGCCTGGCCTGTGGGAATTGGGCCAAAACCGGCTCTCCGACATCCCCGGGGGGTTCCAGATTGTGAGAGGGTGAAGGCCAGGTTGAGGGTCCCCACCTCTAGTAGTTATCATAAAAGATCTTTTCTCTAAAAGTTGCCCATGAAATTCAGATCTAATTCCAAGCTCTTTCTGCATTCATTCACCTAGCCCGGCCGGCGTGGCTCAGTGGTTGAGCATCAACCTATGACATCCACCCATTCCATAGACTTACTATGTACTAACTTTGTGTAAGGCACTTGCCCTGATCAGTTTCCAATGTTTCTTATGTCGAAAGAATAAGAAAACAAATTCTTTCTATGAAACGGAGACTCAAAGAACCAAAGCTAAAACCATGGCTTATACTGGCTAAGTTTTGATAAAATACCTCTGCAGAAATTTTTAAGTAAACAGATATGAAGACAATTCGTCCAATACTTACGTACCGATCACAGCTCAGGGTCGCAATATACTGGCCCAAAGGATCCCAGGTAACTCCTTGTACATAACTTTTATGTTCATTAAAAATCGAGATCTTCTGTCCTACGAGAGAAGCACACAACAGCATAACCAAGACCTACTCCCGCACCAGCGTGGACACTGCAGTTTCAGTGTCACGGTCCTGACACTGTTCTGCCTTCAGCAGGCGGCAGGGGGACTGCCCCAAACACTGGGTCAGACCCGGGCCACACAGGTCCTGCACAGCCCCATCCCCAGGCACTCAGAGCCGGCGGCGGAGACCCCACGGGCAGGCGCACTGCAGCCTGGCAGAGCACTGAACACAGAGGAGGGAGGTTAACGCGGCAGGCGGGACCAGGCAGGGAGAAGGGGCCAGTGGAGGGGAAGGAGGTGGACTATGCAGATGCACGGATAGAGGGAGCAATGGCAGTAGGTAAAGGGCCAAAATGACAAGATGGGGGGGTGGGGGGGGGGGGGGAGGGGCGCGACAGGAGCCCTGGACAAGGAAAAGGCCCCGGGCACTCACGGTGCGCCTAAGAGGAGCACCAAGAGGGAGTGACCTGGTGGTAAGGATGAAGCTGAGGGGGCTTTTGGCGTTTTGTTTGTTAATCCTCACCCATGTATTTTCCCACTGATTTTTTTTTTAAATATATTTTATTGATTTTTTACAGAGAGGAAGGGAGATAGAGTTGGAAACATCGATGAGAGAGAAACATCGACCAGCTGCCTCCTGCACACCTCCTACGGGGGATGTGCCCGCAACCCAGGTACATGCCCTTGACCGGAATCGAACCTGGGACCTTTCAGTCCACAGGCCAACGCTCTATCCACTGAGCCAAACCGGTTTCGGCTCCCACTGATTTTTTAGAGAGAATGGAAGAGGGGGAGAGACAGACAGAAACACTGATGTGAGAGAGACAGCCACCAGTTCCCTCCCACACGTGCCCCCACTGGGGCTGGGGATCGAGCCTGCAACCCAGATACGTGCTCTTGACTGGAATCGAACACGAGACCCTTCAGTCGACAGGCCGATGCTCTAACCACTGAGAAACTGGCCAGGGCAAAACTGAGGTTTTGAAAAGACCATGGGGAGAGCCCCTGGTTAGGAGGTGAGGGTAGATCCGGTGAGAGAGAGGGCCTTAACCCGAGCAGCACACGCAGGGATGGACGGGGACTGGGGGCCGGAGGTAGAAGGAAAACCAGACACACACAAAGACGACCTGAAGAGAGAGGAAGTCATGAAGCCTTGGCCATGCTAGGAGCTCCAGGACCCAGTTCTCTGAGGTGCCTTCCCTGCTCACTCCCTCCACCTTTCTCACCTCATCCCCCCAGCCCTCTGCCATGTCCCAGCCCTCTGCCATT